TTATCATGATAAGCATCAGATAATGTGTAGAACTGTTGAATCACTGTATTATACACTTGAAACTAATGTAACTGTCAGTTATACTGGAATTTTTTTTAAGTAACTATTTGGAGACAGTACCTTGAAAGAGATAATTAAGGTAAAATGAGGTCATTGGACAGGCCCTAATCCAATATGACCAGTGTCATTATAAAGAGAGATTAAGACACAGTTATACACAGTAGAAGATCATATGAAGACATCAGAAAAAGGTGGCCATCGACAAGCCAGCAAGAGTCCCGCAGAGAGACTCTGACAAGTTTGCTGGCACCTTGATCTTGGATTTCTACCCTCCAAAACTATAAGGAAATAAATATCTGTTGTTTAAGCAAAAAAAAAAAAAAACCCACCTAAGAAGTACTTTTTTGACATAATTATTACCTATTTAATACACAGATCCCTCACTATTAAAATGATATTATAATCAGGAAAACTAAAATATGCATATTAAAATAATATTAATGTTATTAAATATTAAATATGTTAAACTTATTTTTAATTTTAAACATTTTAAATAAAACATTCATAGTTTAGATTCTTTTCAGATCATATAAATCTTGCACCTTTTAAATAATTAAAACATTTTGATTGTAATTATTAAATGATTTTAATTTATTATTAAATATTAATAAGTTATTAAATAGAAATGAAATGCATATTAAATAGCAGTGAAAACTAACATACAGCTCATGTTACAAGTTGAATGAGGCTCATAAACATAATGAGTAAAGGAAGCTTGACATATTGGAGGGTTCCATTTATAATGAGGTTCAAAACAGGCAAAATTAAACTCTAATGTTAGAAGTCAGAATAGTGATACACCTTGGGGAAGAGAGGATTTAAGGTTTGAGAGTGGTATTGAGGTTGATTTAGGGTATGCTGTCAGAGTTCCGTTTTTTTACTTACAAATTCAAAAAGTACAGAGGTACTTATTTTGTGATAATCATCAAACCATATTTATCTTTTGAGCACTTGTGTGTTATATTTCAATTTTTAAAGTTTTTTAAAGTTAAAAAAAGTAACAATATAATGAGAAACAACCAAATGAAAAAATAGGTTTGAACAACAGAGGACATCAAACAGCCAGTAAACATAATATAGTGTTCAACCTGTAACCAGGGAAATATGTGTTAAAAACCACATAGATTGACAAAAATTTAGATATCTGACTATATCATATGTTGGTAAGTATGTGGCACAAAAGAAACACACATTGGTTGGTGTAAAATTTGGTAAAACCACCTTGGAAAACAGTTTGTCTTTTTAAGTTATTTTAATAATACATATAACCTCTAACCTGGCAGTTATACTCCTAGGTACATATCCTAGATAAACGTGTATACATGTGCAGTAGGATTTGTAAAAATGTTCATAGAAGTGAAAACTGGAAATAACCCAAAAATGTTCAACATAAAAATGGGTAAATAAGTTGTAGTATTGTAATCCAGTTAAATAGTATGTAATATACAAAATGAATAAAATATGGCTACATACAGAGTGTAACTGAATCTTAAGAGACAAGATGAAAATAAATGTATGCATTATTCTATTGTAAATTAAAATTCTTTCTATTAAAAAAAACAATCAGGCAGAAATGAAAAATGTAATATCTTAAGATTCAAAACCAACTGGATGTAATGACCATAAGGATAGAAGAAGCAGAGGAGCAAATAAGTGAAAGAGAAGATAGAATTATGGGAAATAATGAAGCTCAACAAAAAAGAGAAAGCAGAATGATCATGAGAGTAGACTTAGAAAACTCAGTGACTCCAAACATAGTAACATTCCTATCATAGGAGTCTCAGAAGGAGAGAGAGGAAAGGGGGAAGAAGGCTTATTTGAGGAAATAATAACAAAAAACTTTCCATTAAAATAAAAGAAAACAAAGAATATTTAAGAATTCATATTTAGGAGACCAGTTTAAGTTAGTAAATATGTAGAGAAAAGCAAAAAAGTGTTTATTGTAAAAGTCAAGAGAGTGGTTTCCTCCAAGGAGGTAGTGAGGGGTTTGGACTGCAAAGAGACACATGCAGTATTTCTGGAGTGCTAATGTCTTCCATACCTTTCTCAAGCCCAGCAAGTATTATGATTCTTGCTTTAAATTCTGCATCAGGAAGAATATTAATTTTATCTGTTTTGATTAGATCTCTGGCTGTGACTTTGTTCTTTCTTTTGGGATGAATTCCTCCATCTTGGCATTTTGTCCAGGTCTCTCTCTTCTGTGTGGTAGAAATCTTGTTATGTCCTGCTCCTTTGAGTAATGGCTTTATGAAGAATAAGTCATGTAACGTGCAGGGCCTGGCACTTTAGGAAGTGTCTCTGGTGTGTGTTGCGTGCACTCTGCTGCTGTGTTCTGGCTGGTCTGTCCCTCAGTCAGTTGTCTCTAGATGCTTTCCTTGCCTGCAGTAGACAGTGTTTGGTCCTTGGCCAGATTTTATGGTGAGTTTTAACTAGGTGTGTTCTGTTCTGCTTGTTAAATGATACCTGATGCTATTTCCACTAGAACAGAAGCTTTGCAGAATGCTGTAGTCAGTAGATGTGTGTGTGGGAGTTTGTGCTGGTCTTCAAGGAAGAGGCCTGCCGTGCTGGTCCATAAGCACACCTGCCCAAGAAGAGCATTACCAGTGGAGCACAGAGGAGTGAGACCTGGGGTAAGCGGTAGGCAGCTAGTGTTGGTGCTGTGCTCTTTACTAAAGTTGATTTATGCTAAGGGGTGGGGGAAGGAAATGGTGTGAGCCAGTTCCTTGGTCCCCAGGGAGGGGAGGCCACCCTTGCTGCTGTCAGGGAAGCCCTCCCATAAGAATGAATAATTAACCCTCGTGTGTCCTATGTATTTATAGATCACCATTTTCATGCTGTCTGTCTCTGAGTTGCTTGCCTGCCTGGAACAGCACAGTGCCCTCAGTGCTCTGCCATAGCCAAGCCTGCCGACTTTCAAAACTCCAAACTTTAGGACCTGGTGTGTTAGGGACTCATGCTGGTCTTCTGGTGAGAGTGTAATGGCCCCCACATTACACTGGGACTGATGCAGGTTTGACCCAGAAGGGCAGCTGCGCCAGAGCAGGAACAAAGCAACTAAATACCCATTGTCCAGGTTAGCTGCCCACAGCAGGTTTCTGCACCTCTGGTGAGGGGCAGGGGAGTGAAATGGCGCCTCCTGGCTCTTTGTCCCCAGAGAGGGAATGCCACCTCTCACAGATAACGTTCCAAGAAAACAATACAATCACCTCCCCATGTGCCTCAGGTGATCCTCAGATCATGCCTTCTGCCCAGTAGCACTTGCCTGCCATCTCTCCAGGAGCAGGGCAGTACCGTCAGGTCCCCATCCTAGACAAGCCCATGGACCTCCAGAATTCCAGTCTTTGAGCACTGCTGATTGCAAAAACTCACAAAAATCAGCCCTTCTAGTTTTTCCACCCAATGACTTTGGAAAGTGTTCTTGTGTGCAATCCTGTGCTTTCTTCTCTATCTCACCTTTCTCTACAACCAGGACTCCTTCCCCTCTGCAGCACCCATGATCCATTTCTCCCCCAAATCACATCTCTGCACGCCCTACCTTCCTCAATGTGGCCTTTTCTCTCTCTCTAGTTGTACAATTTGTTTTATCAGTCCTCAGGTCTGTTTCTTGGGTATTCAGAATGATTTGATAGTTATCTAGCTGTGCTAAAGAGCTGAGACAAGCTATCTTAGCTCCCATTCTGTACACCACATCTTCTTTATCCATTCATCAGTCAGTGGGGACTCGGGCTGTTTCCATAATTGGGCTATGGTAGATAGTGCTGCTGTTAACATTAGGGTCCATGTATCCCTTCAAATTCATTATTTTTGTATCCTTTGGGTAAATACCTAGTGTTACAATTGCTGGATCATAGGATAGTTCTATTTTTAACTTTTTGAGGAAACTCCATGCTGTTTTCCAGAGGGGCTGCACCAGTTGCATTCCCACCAACAGTGCATGAAGGTTCCCTTTACTCCACACCTGTTGTTTCTTTCTCACCACCACCTGTTGTTTCTTATATTGTTGATTTTAGCCATTCTGACAGGCGTGAGATGATATCTCATTTTGATTTTGATTTGTATTTCCCTGATGATGAATGATGGTGAGCATCTTTTTATGTGTCTGTTGGTCATCTGTATGTCTTTGGAAAAATGTCTATTCATAGCCTCTTCCCACTTTTAAATTGGATTATTGGGTTTTTGAGTGTGGAGTTCTATAAGTATTTTTATATATTTTGGATACTAACTCTTTATCAAATAACCCTACAATATATATGGAACTTCAAAAGACCCTGAATAGCCAAAGCAACCTTGAAGAAGAAAAGCAAAGCTAGAGGCATTACAAGTCTAGCCTTCAAGTTCTCTTACAAAGCTGTAGCAATCAAAACAATATGCTTCTGGCACAGAAAAGACACATAGATTCAGTGGAACAGAATAAAAAACTCAGAAATGAATCCACAACTGTGTGGTCAATTAATCTTTGGTAAAGCAGGAAAGAATATCCAGTGTGAAAAAAACAGTCTCTTCAACAAATGGTGTTGGGGAAACTGGACCATTTTCTCACACCCTACACAAAAATAAATTCAAAATGGATTAAATACCTAAGTGGGAGACTTGAAACCATAAAAATCCTAGAGGAGAACACAGGCAGTAACCTTTTTGATATCCACGGTAGCAACTTATTTCTAGATAACGTTTTTGGAGGCAAGGGAAACAAAAGCAAAAATAGACTATTGGGACTTCATCAAAATAAAAAGCTTCTGCACAGCAAAGGAGACTGTCAACAACACCGAAAGGCAACCTTTAGATTAGGAGAAAATATTTGCTAAAATTCTGTTCTTTAAATGTAACAAATGATAATAAATGTTTATGTTTTATTGAGCATGCTATTTTTGTAGGCAAAATATACTTCCTTTGCCAAAGGATAATAATTTTACTGACTTCATTTTTCTTTTCTTATTCAGGTTATGTATGGAATGTTGGTCTTCACATTAGTACTTCGATCTATTTATATTGTTACATGGTGAGTAGTTTGGATTGGATCATCAACACCATGATTAGATTACATTTAGGCAATAAATCTATAGCCTAACTTGAAATAAGACATAAAACATAACACGAGCAGGGATATAGATAGAAAACTATAAACCAACATTTATTGTGGCATAAGGTAAGGAATACTAATTCTTTAAGCAAGTTGTTAACAGGCATTATGTAAAAACAAAAGTTCCAAAATTAATTTGAGGAAAGCTGTGTATGATGGCTTCCTTTTGAATATTTATAATGTACATTAGTATATTGCCTTGAGAAATCCTGTAGTAAAAATAAAAATTGTTTCTCAAGCTACTTAACTCAGAACGTTTTTTACAAAACACTATTCAAGGAATGCTGTTAATGTCTCAAAGAAGCAGTATTCTAGAAAGATGATTTAGGAAATAGCATAATCTTTATAGAGTTTATGAATATTAAGTAATATTCATGTGAGTACCTCCCATGGGTAATGGCCATACAGCAGCAGATGTTCGATAAATAAATAATATGATTTATGGGTTTATTCTGTTTTTTTCTTTTTTAATTAAGCTTTTTATTTTGAGGTAATTGTAGAATTAACATGCATTATAAGAAATAATAGAGATCTCCTACACCGTTTACCAATTTTCTCCAATGATAATGTCTTGCAAAACTATAGTACAGTATTACAGCCAGGACTTGACATTGACAAAGTCAAGATACAGAACAGTTCCATCATCACAAGGATCCCGTGTTGTCCTTGTATAGCCATACCCACCCGCTCTCACCCCTTGTCCTTAACCCCTGGCAACCACTAGTCTGTCCTTCATTTCTAGATTTTTTAATTTCAAAAATATTATATAAATGGAATCATTTATAACCTTTGGGATTGGTCTTTTGCACTCAGCATAATTCACTGGAGATTAGTGTAAATTGTTGAGTGTATCAGTAGTTCATTCCTTTCTGTTGCTGGGTAGTATTCTGTGCTACGCACGCACCACGGTTTAACCACTGACCTGTTAAATGACATCTGGATTGTTTCTAGTTTTTGACTTATAAGGAATAAAGCTGCTGCGAACATTTGTGTATAGGTTTTTGTACGAATATAAATTTTCACTTCTCTGGAATAAATGTCCAGAGCGGGATTGCCAGGTTGTGTCATGGTTGTATGTTTCGTTTTTCTCAGAATTGCCATACTGTTTTCCAGGTGGGTCTGTCCTTTTAGATTCCTACCAGCAGTGTGTGAACCACCCAGTTTTTCTGCATTCATGCCAGCATTTCGTGTTGTCACTATTTTTTATTTTAGCTATTCTGATAGACAGTCTCTCATTGTGGTTTTAATTCTCATTTCCTAATGTCTAAAGATGAACATATTTTCATGTGTTTATTTGCCATCTGTATATCCTCTTTGTGGAAATATTTGTTCATGTCTTTGCCTGTTTTCTGTTGGTAATGTTTCTCTTTTTTTTCTCCAGTTCAGTTTTAAAAGTTATTTATATATTTTAGATACTCATCCTCCGTCAAATACATAGCTTATAAATATTTTCTCCCTGTCTATACCTTGTCTTTTCTTACTCTTCACAGAGTCTTTCACAAAGCAAAAAAGTTTTTAGTTTTGATGAAGTCCAATTTATCAATTTTTATTTTATGGATCATACTTTTGGTGTCAAATATAGGGACTCAGTCTCTAACCCTAGATTTATTCTGTTTTTTTTTTCCCTAAAAGTTTTATATAGTTTTACATGTTACATTTGAGTTCATAATTTATTTTTAGTTAATTTTTATGTAAGGTGTGAGGCTTAGGTCGAAGTTCATTTTGTTACCTATAGACGTCCAGCTGCCTCCAGGAACACTGATTGAAAAGACTGTATCTGAAATTTCTCCACTGAACTACTTTTACTCTTTTCTCAAAGATGATTTGTATATATTTGTGTGGATCTATTTCTGTGTTTTGATTCTCTTACATTGATCTGTGTGTCATCCTTCCACCAATGCCACACTGTCCTGATTACTGTAGCTGTAAAACAACTCTTCAAGTCATACAGACTGATTCCTCTCATTTCTTTTCAAAATTGTTTTAGCTGTTTGGGTTCCTTTCCATATAAACTTTACCATAATACTGTCTATGTTTAAATTTTTGTTGAGATTTTGGTAGGAATTGTATTAAACCTGTGTATCAATTTACAAAGAATTCATGTCTTTGTTATGTTGAGTGTTCCAGTCCATAAACATAGCATGTCCCTCCATTTATTTGGATGGTCTTTGATTTTTTTTTTTTTTTTTTTTTTTTTTGGTCAGCATTTTGGAGTTTCAGTTTTTTGAGCAATTGTAAATGGTATATTATTTTCAAATTTTTGTATTAACCTATTCATTGCTGTTATATAGAAATAAAATATTCTTTATCTTATACTCTGCCACCTTGCTGAACTTAGTATTTCTGGAAGACTTGTGTAGATTTCTTGAGATTTGCTGCAAATAGGAACAGTTTATATCATCCTTTCTAATGTATGTGCTTTGGAAATCCTTTTTTGTCTTATTGTTCTGACTAGAACTTCTAAGACTATATTGATTAAGAGTGGGGAGAGCAGATATCCTTGTCTTATTTTTAATTTTAGGGGAAATGCATTCAGTCTTTCACCACTACCTAACAGCAGTGTTAGCTGTATGGTTTTTATAGATGTTCTTTATCAAGTTGAGGAAATTGCTTAATTTCATGTTTTTTCAGTAACAATTGATTTGATATATAACTTTTTCCTGTCTGTTAGTGTGATGTTAATACATGGATTAATTTTCAATATTGAACAAACTTTGTAATCTGAATGAACCACACTTAGTCATGGTATAAAATTTTTTATATGTTGTCAAATGATATTTGTTATTATTTTCTTAAGGATTTTTATATCTATAATCATGAAGGATATTGGTTTATAGTTTTATTTATTGTTTCACAGTTCTGGAAGCCAGAAGTCAGAAATCATGGTGTCAGTATCACTGTGATTCCTGTAGGGGAATCCATCCTTACCTCTTTTTATAAAGCTTGACTTTTTTCCACATAATTTCAGTCTTTGTCACGACATGGGACATGGTGTTCTCCTTGTATTTCTGTGTCTTTACATGGCTGTTTTCTTATAAGAACATCATTCATATTGGATTAGGAGCCCACCCTACTCCATTATAATCTCATTGTAAATAATTATATCTGCAATGACCCTATTTCCAAACAAGCTCACATTCTGAGGTACTGGGGCTTAGGACTTCAACATCTTTTTTGAGGAGGAAGATTTTTTCTAATGTTTATTTATTTTTGAGAGAGAGAGAAACAGAGTGTGAACAGGGGAGGGGCAGAGAGAGGGGGGGAGACACAGAATCGGAAGCAAGCTCCAGGCTCCGAGCTGTCAGCACAGAGCCCAACATGGGGTTCAATCGAACCCAGGAACAGTGAGATCATGACCTGAGCCAAAGTCGGACGCTTGACCGACTGATCCACCCAGGTACCCAAGGGGGAAAAATTTAACCCATAGCTGTACTTTTCCCTGCTCAACTTAAAATATGCATTTTGGATTTCTAACCATATCAGACAGTATTATGGTTTTTGCCCTACCATAAAACATAATAGGAGAAACAAAAAGGAGAAGAAAAATGTATTTACTCATATTTTTCTCTTTCCATTCCTCTTTCTTCCTTTCTAACATTCTAAAATTCCTTCTCTCATCATTTCCTTTCTTTTTTATTTTAAAATTTTTTCATGTTTATTTATTTATCTTGAGAGAGAGAGAGCACAAGCAGAGGTGGGGCAGAGAGAGAGGGAGAGAGAATCCCAAGCAGGCTCCACACTGTTAGCACAGAGCCCAACACAGGGCTCTATCTCATAAACTGTGAGACCATGACCTGAGCCAAAATCAAGAGAAAGACACTTAACTGACTCAGCCCCCCAGCCATGCCTCATCATTTCATTTCTGTTTAGAAAACTTCCTTAAGGTCCCAGAATCTCTAACCTTCATCTGAAAATGTGTCTTGATTTCTGTTTCATTCCCAGAGGATAATTTAGCTGGATATAGAATTCTAGGTTGACAGTTGTCTTTCAGAACTTGAAAAATGTGCCACTTCCTTCCGGCCTTCAGGTTTTCTGATGAGAAATCCTCTGATTCATATTGGTTTTATCCTATAGTATAGGCAAGGTATTGCTTCTCTGTCACTCTTTTCAAGACTTTTTTCTTTAGTTTTTAGAAGTTTGTCTATAGTATGTTTTGATATGGATTTCTTTGGGTTTAGCATGTTTGAGTTAGCTCAGCTTCTTGAGTCTGTGGCTTTATAATGCTTTTGTTTGTTTGTTTGGGGGGAGACTTTTTGGCTAAATTTGAAAATTTTCAGCCATTATTTCATCAAGTACTTTTTCAGCCCTGCCTTCTTCCTTCTCTTCTTCCCGGACACTGATAATATGAATGTTAAATCTTTTGTTTTAGCCCACCTTCTTATGGCCTGATAAGAAAGAAGTCTAGACTCCCCCCTCAGTCTTTGCACCATGGCTGGAGTTGAGGCTACAGTTTTTTGTGGTATTTGACTATAGAATAGTAGTTACTGTGTAACTTTTCTGCCTTGCTAGGCTGTCTCTTTCCTGGTCATTTGGCTAGAGAGAGCAGGCTTTTAATGGAACTAAGTTTTGTCTGTATCTAGTGGCATTTCTGGGTTGCATCTCTAGTTCCAACTTTGGGATATATGAGGCAAAAAGAAAACACATGGAACCTATTGTAGTGTAACTCAGGTCCCAGTCTCTAACCAGTTGGCCTTCTTTCCACCCTTCAGAGTCTTCTTGTGCTTGTTTTTATATAATGTTCAGGATTTTTAATTTATACTTAGTGGGAAGAACTGGGAAAAGGGTGTCTGTTTCATCTTCCCAGAAGCAGGAATCCCTAATTTATTCTGCTTTTAATCTAAGCACCTTAGAGAACTGTGAACAAGCATAAAATACAGTCGTTGCCTTAAATCAAGTCTAATAGATAGGATGCCAATACT